CCAAAACCCTAAACCCCTAAACCCCAAACCCCTAAACCCCCCCAAACCCCTAAACCCTAAACCCTATAAACCCCTAAACCCTAAACCCCTAAACCCTAAGCCCTAAACCCTATAAACCCCTAAAGCCTACAACCTAAACCCTGTAAACCCCTAAACCCTAAAAACTAAAACTTATAAACCCCTAAACCCTAAACCCTAAACCATACCCTATAAACCCCTAAACCCTAAACCCTATAAACCCCTAAACCCTGAACCCTAAACCCTATAAACCCCTATAAACCCTAAAGCCTAAACTGTGCAGGGAACTAATGGCCTCTGGGAGATGTTCGAAGCCTCTGATCAGTCCTTTACATGAGGGTAGTTTTCTAAATTAGGGTCCCTTTTGGAGGGTTTAGGGTTTAAGGTTTAGTGGGGTCTTTTTTATAAGGGTACTATATTGGGGACCTGAACAGGGACCCTAATATAGAGAACTACCCGTGAAGAGTTCATTCATAGCTTGCAAGCATCTTCGAAAGGAGGAGCTGCAACGCCCTCAAACCTAAAGTGGCTAGGGCTCAAGCTGGAGCTCAGAGATAGCCTAGCGCGCCCAAGCCTGATATTTACAAAGACTTGAAACAAATGAATACCCATAGGCTCCATCGTAGTTCCTTTTTGTGGTTTATACTCAGGATCCGACAAGGCAACCCCAAAAAGGTACTACTATGGAGCCTATGGGTAAGCCCTCAACCCTTAAACGAAAACCGATCCCTACACCCGAAAAGCCCTTTCACCCCCAGACTCTGAAGCCTTATGCAATTAAACCGTCAAAGCCTCTGTCTAATCTTCAAGCATCTATAGAATCTTTTTTTAAGGCGCCTCTCATAAGAGGCTTGACTACAGATCCCCTATAAGTCTCTGCAGCCACGCTGCAGGCGCTTGGGTGTAAGCTCTGATGCTTCTTCCTCGGTCGCACTGGTTGGGAGCCGCCCTGGTGGCACCTTCGAACGATTAGGGTTCGTTCGCCTTACGACCTCCAGACCAGCCCTTTGGAAGGTTACGTCAGTTCTTGATGGCTGGGGAGGGGCTTGAATGATTAGACTAGGGCTTTTCGCATCAGGGTATACGATTCTCGCTGCAGGACTTGGAGTTTACGGTGTCGGACTCCGATTCTGGTTTTAAGGCCTGTATGGGGTCAAGCAGTCTAGTGCATGAAGCACCCCTTTTGGGCGGTGGGACCCACGATCTTCTTCCACCCCGGAGGTGTCTCGATGCGTCATGTTCGGTGTTAACAGCGATTTCTCTGTTCACGGCAGAATTGAATTGTCCCTAAACCCTAAACCCTAAACGCGGCTTTCACAGTGTAGGGTTCTTGGCGGCCTTGGTTCATACCCTGGGCCCAAGACTAGACCTGAAATTCTTCAACCTGTTCCCAAACCTTCAAGCTTTATGAGCGCCAATTGCGCCTTAAGCCCCCCTAAACCCCAACCTGAATCCTCAATACCCTAGAAGCTTAAACTGCAAAGTCACGACAACTCCGAAGCCGAGGCCCCTCCGAGGAATGTGGGTTTGGATGTGTTGGATGTTTGGGGTCTGGGTGTTTAGGGGTTAGGGAATGGTTTAGGGTTTAGGGTTTAGGGAGGATGTATGTGGGTGAAACACCCGAAGCCCTAAACTATCAGAAACCCTTTGATTTCGAAAACAGAAACACCGCTTTAGCCCCAAAACTCCGAAATCCCAAAGACAGGTTTGTCCTGGCGGGGGTGTATCTTGACGATGCGTACTCCCAATTTCTTCATCTGTGTATGCCCTATAAGCCCTAGTACCATAATACCCTAAACACTATTGAATCCTTGTTGCCGTGCATACATTTTACAACCGTACTATACTCTAGACCCTGAACCGTAATGACGTTAACAGTGGAACCGGAATGAAGCTCGGGGTTTTGTGCTTTCAGTGTTGGGGCCGAAAGGGGTTAGTGACAACATAGAGGCCTGAACAGTGTTCTCGAAACTCGAAGACATTCATAAAGCAACGGCAGTCTGATTCACGCGGCCCGCCTCTGCTTAAAGACAGGATACAGGTTAGGGCTTAGGGCGAGCTTGGCGAAACCCTAAGCTCGTTAGCCCGATGCCCTGTAAGCCTCAACTTGCTTATCCTATAGATCGTAAACATAATATAGGAGCCTAAATAACTAGAATGGGGTTTTGGGGCCCATTCTACTATATACTTATAATCAGGAACCCCAAAACCCTCTTCTAATTATTAAGGCCCCTACATTACCTGTCTTACCCGGAGCCCAAAAGCCCTTAAGCCTTTAGCCGGAAACTCTAATTTCATTTCTGTATTCCTACATTTCCGAAACTCTGCTTAACCGTCCACACCCTGAACCCCAGTCAATCTTGAACCCTAAGCAATGCAAGCACTCCTTAGCCCTACGCCTGTAAACTGTCAACCCTTATAGAACCCTTATAAGAAGACCCTACAAGGCCCTTCCCTAAGGCCCCATGTACCCATATAGGATAGACTTAGACCCGAAAGTACCTATATAGGAACCCCTTTAAGGCCTAAGTA